TCAATGCACACACACACACACACACACACACACACCCCATACAAGATCCTTCCCCTCTCAGATTTCTCTCTTTTCTCTTCACACACATCTCATACATAAGAGGTCGTTCTTCTATCACACACAGATCTTTCCGAGAGAGAGAGGAGAGAGAGAGGGAGGGAGAGACAGAGGGAGAGAGAGAGAGAGGGAGAGACAGAGAGAGGGAGAGAGAGAGAGGGACAGAGCAAGAGAACACTTAGGAATTCTAGCAGCAGGTCAATAATTACTTAAAATTCTACAATAATCACTTCCTTTCCTTTCTTGAAATTAGTTTTACTACCCATGATGGATCTATCTGGAGCTATCTTTTGAATGAGTCAAGTTTACCCTGAATTTCATATTTTGTGTATGGATGTCTAATATTTCCAAAATTAACTAAAAGAAACTAACTAAAATTAACTTATTTGCTTTTTTTTTTTAAATTTTGCAATGATCATACCTGTACGGACCATGAATTTCTGATAGCTCTACTTTTTCCCTTATCTCTAGATAATTCCTCCAACTTTATTCTCTAGTTGGTTAGCCTTCTATACAAATTTAGTCTCTGGGAATAGAGAGATGGCTCAGCAGTAAAGCGTATTGACTGCTCTTGCAAAGGACCTGGGTTTGGTTCCCAGCACCCACATGGCAGCTAACAACATTCCAAATCTCCAGTTCCAGGGAATCTGACATCCTCTTCTGATTTCCTAGGCTATTGCATGACACAGGTGCACATACATATGTGCAGGCACATGACACAGGAGCACATACATACGTGCAGGCACAACAGTTATCCACACAAAAAATAAAATGAAAAAACTTGGAGTTTAGAATCTACTTGTCCACAGCTACAAACCCCCTGCTGACATTTTCAGTGAAGGGATAAGTGACATCTTGATTGTATTGTGTTTTCCATTCCAGGAGCACACCATTTCTCTCCGTATAGTGTACGCCTTCTTTTTAAAAAAAGATTGACTTCTATTTTTTTATTATGTATATACGTGTATCTGTGTGCAAGTCTGTACATGTGTGAGTGCAGTGGTGTCTGAGTAGAGAGGAAAGACAGAGAGATGCTCTCGGACCTGGAGTTACAGGCGGTTGTGAGCCACCCCACCTGGGTGCTGGAGACTGAACACTGGTCCTCTGCAAAAGCTGTATATGATCCTAACTGCAGAGCCATCTCTCAGCACTTATGTCTTTTTTTCTTTCACCAGAACTTTGGAGTTTTAGCATATAAATCTTGTATGACCTTTAGATCCACACCAAGTAGCCTGTTTACTTATTTGTTTAAAGCTAACAATTCCTGTTGACATATGTCTCCTGCATCCCACAGTTTAGAGTGTGTTCATCTTGACCAGCGGTGCTGGACAGGGTCCATTGTCAACTTGATGCACCGAGGAAGAGGGACCCTCCCTTCGGGAACTGTGTCTCTTGGACGGGTATGTGGGCATGTTTGTGAGGCACCTTCTTGACTGAATGATGCGGGCAATGCCACTTCTGGGCCCGTGGGCCTGTGTTATATAAGAAAGTGGGCTGAGCAGGGGTGTGGGACCCTGAGACCCTCTTCATTCACCCGCTACCCCCCAACCCCTCCAGACTCCCACTAATTGCTCTTTTAGCTTCTGTAAAATGCTTGGCTGCTGCTTTAGACACGCCTAGACATGCCCTAGCATGCTCTGACCCCCGCCTGCCTGCTATTCCCCACTTCCTGTCCAGGAAACTATAGATTAAGCAAGCCCGAGCATGAAAACTGCCCTATAAGGTAAAAACAGAGACTCCTGGCCCCACAGATAACACTCAGCACATTCCACAGCCCTGAGAATAGCACCTACCAAGAAGAAACTTCCAGGGCTGCATCTTATACACCCAATTGGTTTAAAATTATGTTGGCGTGCACGCAGGCTCCTTGAACCAACCAAAATGTATCTTCGGTATCCCCCCCCTTTGTCTAAAACCTATAAAAGCCTCCACTGTCCCTTACTCCGGGCTCTAGCACGGATCCGCTGCATTGGTGAGGTCTGAGAGCCCGAGCTTAAGCCCGAATAAACCATAAACGTTTGCTTTTGCATTTTGGTGTACTGGGTCCTCGGTGGTCTTTTTGGGGTCCAGTGGATGAGGTACAACAGGGGGCAGGGGAGGAAATCAGAAAACAGCTTCCTCCGTGGTCTCTGCCTCAGTTTTTACCATTCTTAGGGCTAATTTTCATTTTAAGTTCATATTTTCTTTTATTTTTGGAAGATATTCAGACGTTACCTATGTGGAGAATTTCCCCAGATCATTAACTTGGTCACACTTTCCTGGAACTCCTGGTAGACTAAGGGGAGCATCTTCTTTGTACTGCGACTAATTTCCCCCAGAGGCAGGAATCAAACTCGCAGCCTTATACATGGACCTACGCCTTTGCTAGCACCCTTGACCCTTCATTTTCTTAAACTTCCTCTCACAATGGACCAGGCCACCAGGGGCATCTCTTTGAACCAAGGCTAGCCAGGACGTGCCCCACTCTGGCATGCCACCTTCATCTACAGATGACAGACTGCCTTTCTGTTCCGATTGGACTCCCTTGAACCATGCTGTTTTTAGTTATTTGTGGATCCCTTTTCACGACATTTCAATTCCCTTGATGTTTTTAATATTATCAACAGAAATTTCATGGCAAACTGTAAGCTCGCTTTAGAAAAACTCAGTCTGTTAACTCCCCTTGTAGCACTGAATCTCACACTGTGTTTTGGAATATGGCTTTGCAGTGGCTTCGGATCATTATTTCCTCAATCTGTGCGACCCGGTTGCCTCCCCTCCGCATACCCGTCTTGGCTCTTGTTTTCTGTCTTGTTTGTTGCCTTCTGTTTCTTCCTCTAGGTCATCAGCCTAGGGCTGAGACTCAACAGTTTGGAGTTACTGCTCTGGGGGGTGGTGGGGATGGGGCTGGGGGTGGGGCCGTCACACAGGAAGGAAGCTGGGTAGAGTGTTCCTCTTGGGAAACATAAACCCAGGCTTATCTTTCATTAGCTCAGGAAATAAAGTCCTAACCTGCCCCAAGCATGGTTTGTATGTGGGGGCAGGGAGCAGATTATTTTCAACTTTACATCATAACAAGGAAACAAGCCTCATCCCTGGCTTCAAGCCCAGTTATCCTGGCCAGTCTCTGTCTGAACGCAGCGTTTCTGACCAGCTTCTTGCTGTCGGTGCCAAACCCCAGCACAAATGGATGCCTTAGTTTTCTTTGCTCTTTATATCCAGGTAAATATTCATTTGATATTTAAGATCAGCTGATGCTTAGCTTTCTCTTTTTATAATGCATTCATTATTATGATTTGGGGATGGCAAACGATTCTTTTACAAACTGGCCTGAGTACACCAGCATTTTAATGCCTAGATAACATAACACAAGGACTTTTTCCAAGTTTCAGTAATTGTAAAAATAATATGAAATACCTCAAGGCTCAGGGTCCATTGCAGAAGAGAGGGCAGATTATAGGGGTCAGAGGTCAGGAGGCCTGGAGTGAAGCAGAGAATTCTGCGTGTGACAGGATGGCTGCACTCATGAGCACAGAACCCGTGCAGCTGCTGCACAGAATCTACATAGGATCAAGCAGTCAGCATTCCAGCACTGGGCGGGGGGTCACTAGCCCCCATCACTAACTTCCACCTGTAGACAGCTAGGGAGGGAGAGCACTTTTCCTCTGTGGTCTGGCCTGGTAGGTTGACCATACTCCAGTGGATGGCCCCATACCCATGAGTGCATAGACAACACAAATTGGACTCTGGGTTATTTAAAAAAAGAGGACTTAGCAGGGTGTGGTGGTGCACGCCTTTAATCCCAGTACTTGGGAAGTAGAGGCAGGTGGATCTCTGTGATTTCAAGGCCAGCCTGGTTTATATAGTGAGTTCCAGGACAGCTGGGGCTACAGAGAGACCCTGTCTCAAACAGACCAAAAAGAAAAAAAAAAAAAAAAAAAAAAAAAAAAGAGGACTTGGGGCTGGAGAGGTGGCTTAGCGGTTGAGAGTACTGACTGCTCTTGCAGAGGACCTGGGTTTGAGTCCCAGCACAGCACCCACATGGCGGCTATGAACTGTCCTTAACTCCAGTTCCAGAGGCATCTGAAGCCCTCTTCTGACCTCCATGGCATTACACAACAGGGGTGCACTCACATACATGCAGGCAACACACTCATATGCATATTAATAAAAAGAGGACTTGACATTGGGAGGGGTGAGGAGATGCGGAGTGGATCTGGGAGGAGTTAAAGGGAAAAGTGGGGGTGAATAGGATTAAAATACATTGTATGCACGTTTGAAGTGCTCAAGGAATTAATAAAACTATTATCTTCATTATTAAATCGTATTCAATATGTAGACTATGACCTACTGAGGCTGTAATATATTGATTTCCTATGTAATTTTTTTCTTTGTTTTGAGGCAGGGTCTCACTATGTAGCCCTGGAACTTGCTATGTAAACTTTGCAGGCTGCGAACTCAAAGATCCGCCTGCCTCTGTCGCTCAAGTCCCAGTTAAATCTTTATAGGGGGATGGTTTTTATTCAACTTCACTAGGCCAACAGAAATACATACTTTAAAACCTATGCCAAAACTGTGTGTTGCACTCTCTAAGTATATACAAGTATTCTTTGTAAATTGAAAATAAAAGTAAACAAGAAAAACTTGGCTCAACACAGAATTAAGTAAATACAATGAAAACCCATGTTCCCTGAGGGCTTCCCTCACTGTTAAACATGACACAGAATTAAGTGAATACAATGAGAACCCGTGTTCCCTGGGGGCTTCCCTCGCTGTTAAACATGAACAATTCTTGATTGCTTAGACATTTTCTAACAAATATAGCATGAAAATAAAAAAACCCTTATCTTCCATAGCTACTTAGACGTACAACCACACAACATGTAAGTTGGACATACGGTTGACAGGCTTCATGAATGTTTCCAAAAAGCTGTTTGCCAATCATGATGATGGTCAGCTGGGCTGTCAGTTCAATCAGACAGCCAGCAGGATCACACTGGTAAGAAAACAGAAGTGGAGGGTGAAAGGGAGAATTTTGCAAGAACATCCCCACCCCCCCACAAAAAACTAAGCTGAAATATTAGAAACTCAAGAAGGTCTATTAAGGGGGTATAACATGATCAAGAGATGTGTTCATAGAACCCTGGAGGCATTTAATCCTCCAGATCCCAGACCAGAACCAGGGCACGTCCACTACATCCATCTGTGAGCGGTTGGAAACAGAGACTCCTAGAAAGGTAAAAATCCTTGTGTCTGGGCTAGGGTTGAGAGGTGGCCTAAGCTTCATGTGATTAGCTTGAAAACCACTGGTCATATCTAATACAGGACAGGACAGCCCATTCTTCAGACTTCTGACCCTTTGTGGGAGGTTCCACTTATTACAAATCACAGGCTTTAGGGTGGTTAGTGTCAACTGTCAACTTGATAGAAGGTAGAATCACCTGGGGGATGTGCCTTAGGGCATGCATGTGGGGGGTTACCTCCATTATACTGATGGAGGTGGGAAGACACGCCCTGTGGACATGGCGTTCCCTAGCTGGGAACCTGGAAAACCAGCAGCATTCTGCTTTCTGATTGTGAATGTGAAATGATGTGACCAGCTACTTCAAGCTTCTTGACTTCGGCCTGGATGGCTCTGCCATGATGGACTGTTCTTGAACTGTGAGCCACTGTAAACGCTTTTTCCAAAGTGTTTTCATACAGCCACAGAAGAGTGAGCAGCTCAGCCACCATAAATCCTTGCCCAAAGAAAACTCAAAACTCTTACAGACACACTGGGCATGGTGGCACTCGCCTTTAATCCCAGCCCTGGGGAGGCAGAGGTTGGCTGGCAGATCTCTGTGAGATCAAGGCCAGCCTGGTCCACATAGTGACTTCCAGGTGAGCTGGGACTAAGGAAACCCTGTCAAAAAAACAAAAACCTAACAGATAATAGGATCCATCAGTGGGTGGAGGCAAAATCTAGACTTCTCGTACAGCTCGGTAAGTAATATCTATCTGACTTAGTGCTGGGAACACTAACCGAGACCACAGATCTCACCACGGAGACGTATTACCTCTTCGCTTCTCCACACACTGAACATGTATGTGTACTTTCCAGGATAGCCCACAAACTTCCCTTTAAAGAAGGCCACATAGAAGCAAGAGGAATAATAGTTGACGAACTGGAACAGGAACATCTTCAGCGTGAGGCTGCTCTCATACTCCTGGTAAGTTCGAGGGATTTCTGGCAGGTAAAAAAACACAAAGATTAAATGCATTCTCCTGTTTGTTCCTTGAACATGGTGCTTAGAAGAGGATATCTAGGCATCATTTGAAAGTGTACAGAAACGTTCCTCCTCCCCCCACTGGCACTGAAGGACCGTGGCTCTATGTTGACTTTCCGTGGGTCACTGTGAGTTGTAATCCAACCACTGGGGAGGTCCAGGACTCAGTCGCTACATTTCAAGGATGGGGAACTTCTCTATGGTTCAGTCAGGATATGGAATCTGAATCCCTACAAGACTGGAAATCCTCACTATCACCTCTAGACATTACAGCAAATTCCACAATGTCTGTCTGTGACCTATCTAGTTGAAACAAGGTAAGCTCATGTCAAGGGCTGAGACGGTTCCTAAGGACATTGTGCTTTCCTCACAGGAAACTCAAATGTGATGGTAAGTGCTGGCAGAAATAACACTGTGCTGGAGAGCTTCAGTTGTCATCTGGACACAGGTGGGTAGAAGGTGCCTCAGTTAGGGGTGAGGCCTCCCTCAGTGATGAAATAGAAAAGCGGACTGAACAAGTGTGTTTTCCCTTTCCTTAAAATGCACAACCATGATTTGTCATTAGAGCACATTCTGAGGATAAGGCGACATTAACTTCACAACAGGTTAGAGCACCACGCAGAACCGGAAAGAACACGGTGGCAGGGGACTGCTCCCTGTCACCATAGCTGACCACACAAACAGCACTTTCAGCATAGGAAACCCTGCAAACTATTCTAAAGACAAAGGCAACTTTTCCACTTTGGCAAAGTTCAGTTGCATTCATAAAAAAAAACACCTATGATAGGATGATTTTTGTCGAAGGAACAAACAAGTGAGAGCTCCGAACGTGAAGACTTCAAGCTTCCTGGCCGTGCTTGCCTGGTGCTCTGCCTGCATCCACAGGGCATGTGGGGTGGGGTGGGGTGTGTGCATGGTCTGGGAGGGTCAGCCTGGAGCTTTGTGAGAGCCCTCAGCTGCTGTGTGGCTGAACCTACCTATCTGTAATGTGCCTGACAGGGACAGAAGAAATGGCACTCCATGCAGCTCTCCTCACTGCGACCCTGGCTCCACCTGCAACCCCCTCACCCTCCAGCACAGCTTCTGGACACATTTCAAAACTTCAACAAGAAAATAATCTAAGTTGAAACCCATACTATTGAGACAAACATCGTTTTCTAGATTCCGCTAGGAGTAACTGATGTCCTGTTTGGTTCTGTTTTCTCATGAGGATTTCTAAAACCTTCCCAGATCAAAGAACAATCAGATTATACCATGAGGCGTCTCCTCTGCGTTCAACTGGTTCCAACAAGGGAAGTTTAAGACAAGAGCACTCAGAATGGCCTGAGGAGTGCCTTGGGGAGTTCTTCCTGTTTCCCTTAGGAAATGGCTGAGTGAGGATATTAAGGGATTCTGCAAAAACAGGGGTGGGTCTGTCTTCCTGCTGTGCCTTTCGGAAGCAGCTCCCCAAGAGAAGATACAGAGTGGATGCTGCGTGCCAGCCGGAACCTGTTTGGTCACTCACCCATTTTTGTGATCCAGGCAGATACTTTGTCATAAAAAAAATTCAAGATCAAGATGACGATGAAGTTCAAGCATGATCCAGAGAGAGAGGTGGCCATCTGGGGCGTGAAGACGGTCTTCACGCTCTGCAAGGTGGCTTCGCTCTCCATGAAGCTGGCAAACGTGGCAAAGACGGACAGGCGGTACACGATGACAGACACCATGCTGCTGAGGAGGAGAGCCATCTGAGGGAGAGACATACCTGCTGGCTCTGCGTCCCTGTGCCTCCCGGACGCACGCCTGCCTGCCACAGACGGTATTCCCCGATTCCATTACCGTCCTCACCAGCTGTCTTAGGCAGAGGAAATGAGCTGGCTTCTCTTAGCCTAGAGGGCATCCGCTAAGCAATGGCAAAGCGATAGGCTCAGAAAATATTTGGTAGCTGTGCCGGAACCTGTTTGGTCACTCACCCATTTTTGTGATCCAGGCAGATACTTTGTCATAAAAAAAATTCAAGATCAAGATGACGATGAAGTTCAAGCATGATCCAGAGAGAGAGGTGGCCATCTGGGGCGTGAAGACGGTCTTCACGCTCTGCAAGGTGGCTTCGCTCTCCATGAAGCTGGCAAACGTGGCAAAGACGGACAGGCGGTACACGATGACAGACACCATGCTGCTGAGGAGGAGAGCCATCTGAGGGAGAGACATATCTGCTGGCTCTGCGTCCCTGTGCCTCCCGGACACATGCCTGCCTGCCACAGACGGTATTTCCCCATTCCATTACCGTCCTCACCAGCTGTCTTAGGCAGAGGAAATGAGCTGGCTTCTCTTAGCCTAGAGGGCATCCGCTAAGCAATGGCAAAGCGATAGGCTCAGAAAATATTTGGTAGCTGTGGGTGTGCTGTGACAGCTTCCTTTGTTAACTGGACACACCGGGGAAGAGGGAGCCTCAGTAGAGGAATTTCCTCTATCGATTGGCCTGTGGCCAGGAAGGTGGGGCATTTTCTTGATTGTTGAGTTATATGGGAGGGCACAACCCACTGTGGGCAGTACTACCCCTGGGCAAGTGGTCCTGGGTTCTATAATAAAGCAGGCTGAGTACAGACCAGGGGAGTAAACCCCCGAGCAGTTCCTCCATGGTCTGTGCTTTATCTCCTTTCCAGCCCCGAGTTCCTGCCTGACCTCCCTGACTGATGAACTGTGACTGAGACATAAAAGCTAAATCAACCCTTCCCCCCGGCAGCTTTTGATCAGCGTCTTATCACAGCAACAGAAAGTAACTAAGACAGTGGGTTAGGCACAAAGCAGGAAAAAGATTCACTCTTTGTGATGGTAAATACTGATTGTCAGTTTAACAGGAGATTGTCAGTTTAACAGGACAAGAGTATCTATGAGGGATTGTCTAGGTATGGCTGGTTTGGGTGGGAAGACCCACGGTTACCATGGGTGGCACAATTCCACAGGACTGAATGGGAAGGCGAAATGAGCTGAGCACCAGTGTTCACCTGTCTCTACTTCTTGCAATATGACAGCTCTTTGAGCTTCTGTACCATGACTTCCCCGCAGGATGTGAGGGAGCCCTGAACTGCGAGCCCAGTACACGCTTCCTTAAGTTGCTTTTTGTCATGTTTGCTCACAGCAATGGGAAACGTGACTAACACACTAATTCTCTGTACTCATTTCTATAGGGTTTGCAAGACAGCCAGAAATGCAAACCCTACCCCTGTCTTAGTATGTTTTGATACGGCTCTTAAGATCAATCTATCATCTATCATCTATCTATCTATCTGAAGTGCTTAGTATGTATGTATGTATGTATGTATGTATATCTAGCTATGTATCTCTGTATGTATCTATCATCTATCTATCTATCTATCTATCTATCTATCTATCATCTATCATCTATCTTAGTATGTTTTCATACAGCTCTTAAGATCAATCTATCATCTATCTATCTATCATCTATATATTTATCATCTATCTACTTATCTATCTATGTCTAATCTCTACCTGCCTATAATCTACATACCTATCATCTACCTATGTATCTATCATCTATCTACCATCTATCTACCTATAATCTACTTACATATCATCTATCAATCTATTTATCTACCTATCTATAATCTCTCTACCTGTCTATAATCTATCCACCTCTCTGTCATCTGTCATCTATGTATCATCTATAATCTATGTAACTATGTTCTGTCTATCTATCATCTATCATGTATCTACTTATCTGTCTATCTCTAATCTCTCTACTTGCCTATAATCTACATACCTACCATCTATCTATGTATCTATCATCTCTATATCTATCATCTACCTATAATCTACTTACATATCATCTATCTATCTATCTATCTATCATCATCTATCTATCTACCTATCTATTTATCTACCTAACTATGATCTCTCTACCTGCCTATAATCTATCTACCTATCATTTGTCATCTATGTATCATCTATAATGTATGCAACTGTCCTCTATCATCTATCTATCTATCTATCTATCTATCTATCTATCATCTATCTATCTAAATTTACCTACTTATCACCTATCGATTGATACAAGTTATTTTTAAATGTTTAAAAGAAAAAGAAAGGTGGCTTTATTCTAGAGGCTGTTCATGCCTACAAAGCCCCCTTCAGGGAAAATTTGATGACTCATGACCTAGGTTTCAGTTGCATTGATTCCACATCAATTTTGAATACATCCTACATTATAAATCAGTGTAGCTTTATATCAACAACTGCAGAATATTATTCTAAAAGTTGAGGACGCAGCTCAAACTGCACTATGATTAGAAAATCAAACAGAGCAAGCATCCTGGGGCTGCATGTCAGATGTTCTCAGAACTGATGCTGGAGTGATGATTTGTCCCTTTTATTAGTTATTTCTTCTTCAAGTTGTTATATAAGCTTAGAAAAAAATATCCCTACAAACTCATCTAATATACGAAAATATTCAATAAGAACTGTCTATAAAAATGCAGTGTGGGTGCGTTAGGTCAGGAGCAGGCTGTGAAATCACCTCTTTCACATCTTTCTACAAAGCTCAGTTATGGAAAAATTCATGCAAGTTGTGGTATAGTTTGTGTTTCAGGGGAAGTCAAGGTAAGAAGATCAGGGAGGGTGAGGAGCAAGAGATTCAACAGCCACTGCAGATGCACCTGTGGTGATGCCCCCATGGCTGTGGGCTAAGGAAATGGTAATGGGTTTCAAAGCAGCGCTCACCCCGAAGATCACTGTTACTCCGGATGCAAAGTACCATGGGATGCGATGAAACAGAGGCATGTACGGCTCCATCTCCTGTAGTGTTTGAGAGATCACAAAGTCACAGTCTGCCCTCACATTTGGGACTCCGAGCAGCTGTGGGAAAAAGACTCACGAAGGGCCCATTCGCTTGGCAATATAGACTTGGAAAGTTGTGTTTCAGCAATGGCCCTTGAAGACTGACCATCAGCCCCACCTGGCACTTTACATGTGATCAGAGGCTTCACGGATGCACCCAACATCCTGGGTGCTGGGTTAGAGTGGTACCCAGGGTACAGGGGAGACAAGGCAAGGTGCGAACCTCACCCAGCTGCTTAAGTGCACACTCTGATGTGGTTCAGTTTCACTACATCTGCAATGCCGTCTGCTCGCACTGCCCTCTGTTAAGTCCATGTGTTCTCCACTTTTGCAGGTCAGACTTTTCTATGGCAGGCTTTGGTCATTAATGGAGATTAGCTGTGACGGCTGTCCTTCATGCCACAGCTGAACAGATTCTATTCTAAAAGATTGCTGTTCAGTAAAAAAGTTGTTGGGAGGCATGCAGAGCATAGAGTTCTATAAAATATAAGATTCTATAGTCATAGCTTTTCACAGTGCCTACTGAAAACGCTCTAGGCAGAGAAGCCTTACAGGGGCTCTGGGAACTCAGGCTGTGTATGCAATGTGTGCTCATGAGATCTTTTGCCCCGAGTTCCTGTGTGCATCCTATGTACATGTATGCTAATGCATGTCAGTGCACATTTGTGTATGCCTGTGAATCCACACGTGTTACCAATGTAGACGCACATGAATCCTAGTGCACGTGTGTGTGCACAAACATGTACCACCAATGCAGACCAACGTGAGAGTTCTGGTTGTGCTTACACACCAAAAACTACTGAAGTAAATGAAAAGTCTCTGCTTCTCAATTTTAGTACCATTAGTGCCAAAAGGAGGGGATGAACAAGGTGAACCAGTTCCCACTGCTTTTCCACCAGGTCCAAGTAAATATTCAACACATCTTTCATTCTGTTCATTTTGGCAAAGCCAAGAGGCCTGCCTCTGTTTTCTGTTTATATCATGAAATAAGAAAACCCAACAAACAAATACCAGGTCAACATTCTAGCCAATGCCTTTTCTTAACACCTGTGAATGAGACATGGCCCCAAAGGCTCAGGTATTTGAGCACTTGGTCCCCAGTTGGTGGCACTGTTTGGCAAGGTTATGGATCTGATAAGAGGTGGAGCCTCTCTGGAGGAAGTGCTTTACTTGGGGGTGGGTGCCCCACTTTCTGCCCCCAGTCTGCTTCCTGTACGTGCTTAAAGACCAGATCTCTCAGCTTCTTGCTCTGGCTGTCATACCTCCCCCATCACTTCGGACTCTCCCTCTGGAACCCTTAGAGTCCAGTTCTAACAGATCTCCTGTGGGGGTTTCGTGGCGCTTACCTAGATATCTAAGTTTCTTCCTAATGTCTGGGGCCAACTGTAAGATAAAATGGTGGTTGAGCACAAGCTGTCCCTCTCCGTACTCTGGGTCATACTTGCTATACTGGACTAGGGTGTCAGTAAGTTTGTCCATAAACTGAGCTGGGGTTTCAGTAGGGCCCTGGGTAATCAACCTAAGCTTTTCAAAGTTAACTACCTTAGGAGGCAAAGCTTGCTGAAGGACCGACTGTCAGGAGGGGGGGGATCACGTGGTCCCTGGCTGCCCTACCTGGGGAAGGTCCTGCCTAGTTCCCCAGTGGGAATTGTTAATTCCACCCAGGATCTTGTAAGGGAACTGCCTCAGCTCCAATGGGATGGGTCTGGTTGGGAGTATGAAGCTCATTAGCATACTCTTGAGCTGCTGTCCAGACCCTATGTGTTTCATCAGGAGTGAGGGTGGGCTGGAGAATCATAAAGATGTCATGCCAGGTCAGGTCAGGTCATAGCTACGGGCTATGTATTTGAATTCTTGTTGGGGGGGGGGGGGGGGGGGGTGTCAGTAGAGAAAGAGCCTATTCGGCGCTCAAGCTGGGACAGGTTACCAAGGGAAATGGGACGTGGACTTTGACAGCTCCTTCTTCCCCTGCCACTTCCCTGAGGGGGAAGACACCACGCGTGGCAGGGGGCTGGCACTGGGCACAGGAGTGGGTATGACAAGACATGGGGGACAGAGCCAGATCTGGAGGAGGAGGAGGAGAAGGGAGTGTGGAGAAGTTGAAGTGGGGGATTGCGGAGGAGTGCCTTGTCCACAAGAGGGGTAGGTGTAAAGAGAGGGGCTGGAATGGGCGTAGCTGCGGATATGGGAGAAATAAACAGATTTTTGGAGCCAGGGGTTAGAACAGGAGACAGTGAGGGGTGATTGGCGAGAATTTGTTTAAGACCCTGAATTTCCTCAAGGGTAAAGTTGCATGTGAGAGTAGGAGACTGAGAGCGGTGGGCAGGGGAGAAGGGAAGGCCGTGGGGGGGGGTTGAAGTGCGGGAAGCGGTGAGCTGAGTTTGGCTGGGGGCTGGAGGGAGCCTGAGCTGGCGTAGGAGCCGGCAGTACCCTGGGTTGAGAGGAAGGAGGAGTTGAGGTCGGTCCTAACTGGGGTACATTGGCCAGTGTTGCTGAGACAAAGTGTGGACACACATCTTAGGGAAGCTACAGAGACACAGGGCTCAAGAAAAGTAAAAAAGAAATGTTTATGACCTGGTTACATGGCAAAACTTGTACTGACCATGAAAAGGATATAATCCAAATGACGATTTAAAAAATATCTGCCATTTACAGTACAAAAGATTACTGTGCTTATTATATAAATGCCTGCAATGTATTACAGCACTAAAAAGACTTCCAAAGGCAAGGGGTCAGATAAATGGTCAGTATCAGAAATATGTTTCATTTACTTGTGATCAAATTAACTGCAAATAAAATCCATGAGGAGAAAACATCCAATCCATCAAACTGTCAGTGGTCAAAGAGACCGCCAATCCTCAGGTTTCTCTGAAGCTGAAAGAGAAAAACCTAGCATGTTTGTGAGAGCACAGGTTGGTGCGAGTTTTATGTAAGGTATTTTATACACGCACGTGACAGGAAGGAAAATGTAAGAATTTTACCCATGAACTTATATGTTGATGGGAGCTTGGCTATTGAAGGCCACCTAGAGCAGAGGGTCCCAGAAGGCCTGCTGTCTGTATGTATCTCCTACTGTACCTTTGTTATGGGATTCATCTTCTTATGTTTACACATAGCTTCAAACTCAGGCCTCAACTGTAGCTGCTGTTGTTCCTCTTCAAAGTCAACCAGGTCCCACTCATACTCAAGCCTGGCTTGTCGCTGCTTCCAGAACTCCAGAAACAGTGTGACTGCAGGTGAAGAGGCATCTCAAGATCACACCGTCAACAGGCAGAGAAACATCAGTCAGAAAGTAACTCCCAGGGCTGGAGAGAGGGCTCAGCAGTTAAGAGCACACGCTGCTCTTCCAGAGGACCAGAGTTCCGTTCCAGCACCCATAACAGGTGGCTCACAACTGCTTGAAACTCTAGTTCCATGAGACCCAACACCCTCTTCTGGCCTACACACACACACACACACACACACACACATAGCTAAAAATAATAAAAACAAATACACACACACACACACACACACACACACACACACACACACATACACACAGCTAAAAATAATAAAAACAAATCTTTTTTTTAAAGCATTACTTTCACTTGTGTGTTTAGACATGTTAGTTGCAAAGCAGCTCATACTTTGTCAAGGGGACATGCTGTCCCATTTTGATGATGTGATTATCAGTGAGTAATGTTGGTATAACACTAAGTACTGACACTGAAATTATTCATTATAAAACTTCAAATTAATTTCCTAGTAGTTCAAGCTGAAAAGGTCTAGATCTACACTTATGTAATATTTTACTTTGACTCTTGGTAAACACTAACAGCTGGCATAAATTTTAGAAAAAATATTAGTTTGCTGGCTAGGTAACATACATGTGCCTTTTACGTACATCAAACAGTTATACCCGCTCAGGTTAAATTTTACATTTTTCTTATTTTTTGTTCAGAATTGCAAAGGACAGAAAGGGGTGCTGAGATTTCTGATGGAAGAATGAGCTCACAAACATCTATCATATGAAAACAGAAAGGACATGTGTGGGAACAAAAATCACTGTCCTTATTTCTAAGGATTCCTTGTGGTTACAGAAATTTACAAGAATCACAACATTCAGATAGCCTCTAAAAAGAATGCCTGAACAATAAAAAGACACTTGGCTTTGATGTTATGGATAGAACCTAAATAGGATTTGATCTTTTTCCACTTAAGAAGAATACAGACAGTCATGATGGGAAAGCCTATAATCTCAGCTACTCCAGAGGCCGAGTCAGGAGATCACAAGCTCAAGGCCTGCTTTGGTTAGAGTGAGTTCAAGCCAGTCTCGGCAACTTCCTGTCTCAATTTTAGGTCTGGGATGCAGTTCAGCTCTAAGTGCTTTCTCAGCATGTGTGAACTGTTAGGTACAATCCTCTGCACTGGACAGGGGAGGATGGGGAGGTAGAGGGGGGAATGAAGAGGCGAGAGGAACAAATGCAACATAGATTTGAACACGCAGCGTGTCTGCTGGTAGCAGCTAGGAACGAGGACTCTTGTCTTAGAGCAGCAAGCAGGCCAGTGATTGGCTTTGAGCACCTAGAATCCTGGGCCATGTGAACCTGCTTTCAGAGAAGGGACCAGTGCATGAGGGCAGTGCATGGGCGTGTTCCAACCCCCGCCGTGTACAACACATCTGTCCTAGAGTGAACACTTCAAAGAGTATCTGAAGTGTTGTATCAAAGTGGGCATAAAGTCACATCACTGCATTGCTGGGACGAAGTGTGGACACACATCTTGGGGAAGCTACAGAGACACAGGGCTCAAGAAAAGAAAAGAAATGTTTGTGACCTGGTTATATGGCAAAACTTGTACTGACCATGAAAAGGATATAATGTAAATGAAAATTTTAAAAATATCTGCGGTTTACAGTACAAAGGACTACTGTGCTTACTATATAAATGCCTGCAATGTATTACAGCACTAAAAAGACTTCGAAAGAAAAGCAAGGGGTCAGATAAATGATCAGTAAAATGATTAGTATCAGAAATATATTTCATTCACTTGTGATCAAATAACTGCAAGTAAAAAACCGTGATGAGATAACATCCCGTCCATCAAACTATCAGTGGCCAAAGAGACAGCCAATCCTCTTTCTCTGAAGCTAAAAGAGAAATCCCAGCATGTTTGTGAGAGCACAGGTTGCTGGGAGTTTTATTTAAGGTATTTATAGCAAAGCTTTTAAAATGTAAATATTAATTTCCCCAGAAATTCACCTGCTAAAAATCATTCCTAGAAGATTGTTGTGCAAACATTAAAAGGTGTTTATTCAAGGTATTTCTAGTGGTATAAAGGGGTTTTCCCCAAAAGTGTCAGTAACCCAAATTAAACAACACTGGATAAAAACGTGACAAATTCATGAAGGGCCAGAAGAGAGCCATTTTCCTGGGACTTTGTACTCACCCCAGATTCCCATGAATATTGCAAAGAACACGGTTGACTCGTTATCAAATAGATGGTTGAACTGTAAAAATAATGACATCACAGAGACCACTTAACAGGAAACGCAGAGCGAAAGGAAGGAAATTCCGTGTTCGTCGCAGCACATTGTGACGTACCTTGGAATGCAAGCAGGTGGTGTTCAGTCTCCAGTAATCGCAGACTTCATCACACAGTGGGCACATGATCATCTGACCTCCGATGTGGGGGTCACAGATCTCGGCACTACCCAGAGAACAGTGAGGTTCCGGAAAGAACAGCGGAGTTTGGAGTGAAAGGTCTAAACAACTCTTATCAAACCATAAGCCTCAGGGCTGGGGACTGGGGACGAAGCGAGGGGTTTCTACGGTGGGTGGCAGGTCACTCTAAGGAACAGACTCCTCAGTGCAAACTGTTAAGAGCACTTTCCTGGGTAAGACCAGTGTAAGATCAAGACAGGCAAAATCCCAGCATAGATGGGGGAGGAGCTCACATAGTGCGTGCCCCACCCCCATCCCTGTTGTGTGTCCCCTGCCTAGCCGAGCGTCTACTGGAAATGGATAAATTAATTACTTAAAATAGAAACAGAATTTCAGTAAAGGCCTGCAAGGAGCAGCCTCTGTGTTTGGGTTCTGGTCAGAACCTCCCCACTGCAGGTGTCCGCCAGCTTGGGGCAGAGCTGTGCTGTGTTGATCATCTGACCTCCGATGTGGGGGTCACAGATCTCGGCACTACCCAGAGAGCAGTGAGGTTCCGGAAAGAACAGCGGAGTTTGGAGTGAAAGGTCTTAGCAACTCTTATCAAACCATAAGCCTCAGGGATGGGGACTGGGGACGAAGCGAGGGGTTTCTAGGGTGGGTGGCAGGTCACTCTAAGGAACAGACTCCTCAGTGCAAACTGTTAAGAGCACTTTCCTGGGTAAGACCAGTGTAAGATCAAGACAGGCAAAATCCCAGCATAGATGGGGGAGGAGCTCACATAGTGCGTGCCCCACCCCCATCCCTGTTGGAATGCAAGCAGGTGGTGTTCAGTCTCCAGTAATCGCAGACTTCATCACACAGTGGGCACATGATCATCTGACCTCCGATGTGGGGGTCACAGATCTCGGCACTACCCAGAGAACAGTGAGGTTCCGGAAAGAACAGCGGAGTTTGGAGTGAAAGGTCTAAACAACTCTTATCAAACCATAAGCCTCAGGGCTGGGGACTGGGGACGAAGCGAGGGGTTTCTACGGTGGGTGGCAGGTCACTCTAAGGAACAGACTCCTCAGTGCAAACTGTTAAGAGCACTTTCCTGGGTAAGACCAGTGTAAGATCAAGACAGGCAAAATCCCAGCATAGATGGGGGAGGAGCTCACATAGTGCGTGCCCCACCCCCATCCCTGTTGTGTGTCCCCTGCCTAGCCGAGCGTCT